CAAATATAACGTACATCCTTCCGTTTCAAAAAGGATATCCAAACTGATATTGGGTGAGAGGTACACAATATCAAACTAGTTGAATCCAAATAACATCTAAATCATCAAATCAGCAGGATGCCACGCTGACAGGATACTTATTAAACAGCCCCCATAAACAATCCATCAAACCGCAGCGCGCGGTTTCAGCACTCGAGCTGACAAGAATATAAAACCCTAATTGCCTGAACTAGGAAATTAATTATGGTGGATCGTTGAATAAATCGAGTTGGTTTCATAAAAGCCGGTGAAGTATAGGTGTGTAATCGAACGATGTGCGATATATAGGTATGTACATTATAATATTCCTTGGGATAATCAGGTGGCGAGAATATCGCGCCGGTTCTCGATTATCGGATAGTGAAATATACGCCGAGTTGTTTGGTTGGAGCGCCAACGATCATAAATAAATCGAATGGAGTACAGTGGCGCAGATTTTAAAATAAACAGTATGGCCCACTTCTTATGTATCTCGCAACATATATCCTTGTGCAACAGGTATTTTTACGTCCTGTGCTACTGCTGAAGAAGTATTGTAATTGCAGAAAATTTCGGTAATGAAATGATAATAATATTAATAATAATAAACGTCCGCTTATTTGGGCAAAGTTTAGCTTACGCCACTTCTGATACTTAAAAACGACACATTGTAGTATAAAAGGTAAGTTGGCTCTTGTTTGTTACTTCGTGTGTAATATTCTTTCCCTTTCCATCTTCGTTTCCTCAGTTTACACCTGTATCCGCATCTATGGGTATGTTTATCTACTTTTGAAGTTGCATATGTGCATTCTTTTCGGGCCTGATGAAGCCAACAAGCAGAAATACGTATCGCTCGGGTTACCTATCCTATTTGTCTGCTCGAATTCACTTACCTTCTTTTTGCGGAGTTTGCCCATTATTTTTCTATTTGTTTTATACCTTTTTCCGCATGATCCTTTTCTCTTTGTAGATCCTTTGGGCTTGAAGTATCACAGCAAGTGGCTATAACCGGCAGCGTAGTTGCGGTTAGATGTCGCCTTGGAAATTCGAGGTCTTCTAGCCATTTTATACTAGAATATGTAGGTTGGCTCTTGTTTGTGAATTCGTGTGTCATATCCTTTCCCTCTCCATCTTCGTTTCCTCAGTTTACACCCGTATTCGCATCTATGGGTATGTTTATCTACTTTTGAAGTTGCATATGTGCACTCATTTCGGGCCTGATGAAGCCAACAAGCAGAAATACGTATCGCTCGGGGTACCTATCCTATTTTTCTGCTCGAATTCACTTTCTTTCTTTTTGCGGAATTTGCCCATTATTTTTATATTTGTTATATACCTTTCCGCATGATCCTTTTCTCTTTGTAGATCCTTTGGGCTTGAAGTATCACAGCAAGTGGTTATAACCCGCAGTGTGGTTGTGGTTAGATGTCGCCTTGAAAATTCGAGGTCTTCTAGCCATTTTATACTAGAACTGTTGGCTGAAGTGAGAAAAATAACTGTTTTTGTTAAATAACGTGATCGATGATACATTTTGTAATTCTAATAATAAAAGAAATGTATTGGTGTGAACCTAAGTACGTCAGTATACGTATATATAGCTATAAGATCATAGTTCAGGGCTTTCAGCAACGAAAAATCCGAATACTGCATTTTCTAAGCCTTAGCTTCCGTTTATTCTCAAGCTTTATCTTGTCTGTTTTCAAGTGTCCAATATCTATGTTCTCCCGTTTTATAAGCATTTGAAAAAGAAAAATCACAATTTAATGAACGAACAAGGGAGAAAACTAGTTTGGTAAATTGTTGGAAAGGGGGTAGCTATTATAAGAGGAGTGTTTTATTTATCTATCCATTACTGTTCACAAATTACACAAAAAATATTTCGGTACGCAACTGCTTGAAGAAATAAGATATTGTGCGAAGAGACGCTTCAAGTAGGAGTAAGGTGATGAATAAGTGCGTAAGCATTTTTGCGCCAAGACGAACGAAGAAGCTAAAGAGGAGATCCAGCAGCGGTATCGTGGTGAGCATACCTAATGAAAGATGCCACCTGCCATGGCCATCCGTCCACGCTAACCATCCTTCTTATTACCAGTACTATTTTCGTTCATGTTGTTATGTAGAGAGTTTGTGGTTATGACTGTTAAGTATTGTTGAAGATAATGAACACTTTGAAGTATTTGTGTAATTATAATTATTTACAAAACTCACTTAGAGGACCAACCTACTGATGTTACTGCGTAAATCCAGCTACTTGACACCATTTTTTAAAGCTATATCATATTAAGATAACGGTAATAGTTCTAGGCAAAAAGTATGTTATTGAAAAATGATATAAAAATTCCAAACTGCGCCTTTACAATAATACAAGGTGTCGTAAACGTATACGCTACTGAAGGTACTGATTAGAGATAGATCCTCTAAGTTGAAGTTTCCGGTAGAGAGCGTTAAGGTTAGGCAATAATGGGCAAGTTTTCCTAGTACCTTGTAACGAGTGTAGAACTTTAAATTGCAATAAAACAACGATAGATTATTCGATTGACATGAATTTTTTTATTCGAAAGATAATCATGTGGCATCACATTTTAAATATGATTTCTGGCATATGACTGCCACGGCTGGCTCGGATGTAGGACGTCCAATTTTCGATGACTTTTTCCAACATTTGTGGCCGGATATCAGCAATAATATGGCGAATGTTGTCTTCCAAATGGTCAAGCGTTTGTGGCTTATCCGTATAGACCAATGACTTTACATAGCACCACAGAAAATAGTCTAGCGGTGTTAAATCACAAGATCTTGGAGGCCAATTCACAGGTCCAAAACGTGAAATTAGGCGGTCACCAAACGTGTCTTTCAATAAATCGATTGTAGCACGAGCTGTGCGACATGTTGCGCCGTCTTGTTGGAACCACAGCTCCTGGACATCATGATTGTTCACGTAGCCCTTCAACCAGAAGTGCGCTTCATCGCTAAACAAAAATCGGGAACAACGGCAATCTCGTGTTGGGCCCATTCAACGAATCTACGCCTTGCTTGATGATCGTTTAGCTTCAATTCTTGCACGAGTTGGATTTTGTAAGGACGCAAACCAAGATCCTTCCGCAAAATCTTCCATAAAGTGGATAGACACAGATCCAATTCCTGAGCTCGATGGCGGAAGGACTCATTCGGGTCTTCCTCAATGATACGCTCTACAGTAGCAATAGCTTTTTCTGTACGCACCGTACGCCGTCTCTGAGGATGTGAGTTATCAATTAGAGTAAACGTGGTACGAAAACGTTCCATGGTTAATCGAATTAACTGCCATGATAAACGATTTTGTCAACGATAAAATAGACGTAGTGCGCGATACGTATTCGCGAAGTTGTGCTTCAGTTCTTATTGGATCAGCCCCATAAACCATCCCTTTAAGTTCTCCCCAACACCAGAAATCCATCAGATTGAGGTCAGGAGATCTTGCTGGCCATTTTCGAGGATCAGGAGCATTTCGACCGATCCAGAGATTTGGATAATGCTCATTCAAATACTGAATGACGTCTCTAAAAATGTGTGGTGGTGCCCCGTCATGAAGAAACCACAAATTCTGTCCCCGTTGTAGTCTTTGGTAGACTTGCACAAATGTTCTTCTTTCTGGTTGTACCCGTTGGCGAAACGTGTCGCGATAAATTTGAGCTGCAAGATTTCAATTCTGACGAGCTTCACCGTAAACTAACAACATGTCGGCGAACTCTTGATTCGAGAACATTGTAAATAAACACGACGGCGTACTCGAACAATAACTAAACACCATTTGCGATCGATTGCCGGTTCGATAAGAGTGATGATGACCGACGCGCTCTTGTCATGTGTGTTTTAAATATTCAACTTAATGAAACTTACTTACTGACTACAAATGTTGGGTTTACTTAGAAAAACTTAATGCTATTTATTTGTTAATTACCCAATTTAGATTAGATTATAAAAATTAGTAAGATTGTGGTGATTGTGGTCGATATAAAGCACTTAAAGTTGTAAACTATAAAGCCATTTAGAGAACAATTTATAGACTTTTGGACCATGGGTCATACGAATTTTTTGACTTGTTTTGACCCCTATTACCCATTTCAACAATGACTACCACAACGTTGACACCCTGTATAAAGTGACAATAACCAATTACCAATACCAATCAACTCCGAGACAAAACATACGTACTTATATTAGTCAAACACCTTTGAAGAATAAAATCTCAATATCTTAGCAAGGATACAGCTCTCATACGAGAGGTAGCTGCACATGGGCTGGATCGGTCTATAAAAATCAGCGACGTTTTATGAGATACGGCGATTCGCATTCCGCGTAATAAGCAGGCTGCAGTTCTCGTAACGTCTCGCTGCAGCGCGTTGGAGAGAACGGCCGCAGAGCTGCGGATGAGGAAAAAAATCACGAAATCCTCCGCCGGTGAGCTGCGCAAACTATTCAGACATCCATAACAGATACTAACGAGATTAAATTCCATTAGAAATAAAATATCGGCGGAGAAGTGAAAATCGTTGTGAAGCAGAGGCGCGCGATGGCTTTTCAACAAAGCACACACATCGTGTGAGAAACAGGATACGAATTGGTAATTTTTATTCGTTTATGGAATTTAGTTTCAGTTGTGAGAGGCTTACGCGAACGGTCGGACGGCCCTTCTCTGAGTAGCAACAAGTATTGGCAGCGTAGTCGTAGTAGCATCTCCTCAGAGAAGAGAGCAGTATTCCAAGCTAACCCCAAGCTAGCCCTCGTGCAGTGTAATGACATAGGGAGACAAGCTGCATCAAATATCTCATCATCTTTTGTTTGTCTGTTTTATATTTATGTAGCATTAATGCTACAATGTCCATAATATCCATCTTACAAAGTATATTATGTCTTCAAGACTTTTTTTTTATACTTCAACTACCACGAAGGCCTAAGGCCTAAGCACCCATTTGGTACCGTGGGGCTATAGGGGGATACATGGGAAAGGGGGAACGCCACACGGACTCTGGCGAGGGAACACGTGTGCATCCAACATGCACACATTCTGGCTCCGCCTACGAGATCCGCCGGGTGGTACCTCCGCGTTCGACAGTCAGAGACCGTCTACCGCCTACGGACAATCACAACATCCATAGCCAAGAGAAAAATTTCTCCTGGGACGGGACTCGAACCCGCACAGCGTACGGCGACTGATCAGGAGACCGAAGAGTCTACTACTGCGGCCACCGCTGCTGCCTGCTGCCTACATATTTTATACAAAATTTCCACTACTATGAATTCTGGTTTTCCATGAGATATTTTTTCAATTTCCCTTTGAACATTTTCTAACTGACACACATCTTGTTATCATTACTTAATTTATTAAATTCGTACAATCCCTTTTGAAATACTGACTTGCTCATTATATATATATATATATATATAGATATATATATATATATATTTACTCGTATATGCGTACCTATTATTTTTTTTTCTATTTTTATTGTACTTACTTATTTTACACCTTGTTCTGTTTATTATTACTGTATCTGTTATTTTCTCAACTAAACTGTGTTTCTTTCCATTTTTAACCGACAAATTTATGTATTTATACTTAACTATATTTTTAATTTTTGTAGATAATAATGTACTCATAGAGATATGCCTGACGAGTCTTATATCATTTCTATGATCCGAAGACAATAAAGCATCTATCTATCTATCTATTGCTACTGCATGAAAGTCTATGCTTCCTCTAGTAGAATAATTGTGGCACTCATTGTTCAATACAATAACATTTTCTAAGTGATTTGGTAGAAGATGCTTTTTTAACTTGAATATGAAAATGGAAACCAGGTAGGCTATGAAATGTTTGATATTTAACCAATGTAGTTCTTTCAGCATAAAATTTATTCTAGTATATTTATTTTTATTTAAGATGATTCTCATAGCTTTATTTTGTAATATTTTTAATTTGGAAAATACAGTTTCATTTGTAGTGAACAAAATAGTCGAAAAATATAACAAATGGGGAAGAATGATAGTTTTGTACACAATTTTTTTAGAATAAAGGCTTAGGCTACGAAATTCTATAAAAGAAATTTATTTTCTTGGATATTTTTGAAATAATATATTCATAGTGCCCTTCAAATTTTAATTTACTGTCTCCGTATATGCCAAAATATTTAAATGAGTCGATTGACACAATTTTTTCATGATTAATTGAAAGATTTATTGTATTTTGATCTAAAGATTTTCCTATTAGCACATATTTTGTTTTGTTTGTGTTTTGTTTAAGTTTATTCACATCTAACCAATTCATTACGTTTTTCACATCATTATTTAACAGCTCTATTGCAGTTTCGATATCTTTATTTGATATATATGTTACAGTTAAAGTATTTTCTTAGCTAGTTTATAGAAGAGTTGGATAGTATACAAACTATGCAAATGTATGCTAATTTGGATGGAAAATCATAGTTCCACTAAAATAGCTACTGCTATTGGTTGGTTTGTATACTATCCAGTTAGTTTATAAAATATACAAGATTTATCGCCAATGTACAAACCACAAGAAAATTATATAAATTAACCAGTATTTGTGGCTATTTCACAAACCATCCACAGTAGCTGGATAAAGTGTGAACTTAATATCACCAACTCGTTGGTTAGTATGTAAATTAACCAATCCTCTTTGGCTAATTTAGTTTAGGATAGTTAAATAATTCTCTATCAAAAAAAAATATTTTATTTTTAGGTACAACGTAACTTTTCCATTACTACTCAAAAATAAGTAAAAAGAAGTGACAGAAATAGTGTTTGTGTAGCAAAATATTATTAACAGTTTTTGAACATTATTATTTATTGGAGCAAGTTGCACTGTTGTGGCACTTGCTGTTACAAGTATATCCGGTAGCAAAACATTTCCACTTTTTATATAGGTAAATCATAAGTATTTACATCACAACATAATCATTCTTGTTTTTAGGTTTAGGTCCAGTTTCAAGTATACTCTTTATACGTTGCAAAAGTTCAAAATAATCACTTCATTCATTAAATTTGAAATCTGCGCATTTTGGTCATACAGTTCCAAGAGTATTTTTTCCAAATTCTTGCTGTTAATTCATTTTCAAGGTGCTTATTTACGAACAAATTTTATAAGATACGAGACTAAGCAGTAACAAATACTTGCTACAAACCACCTAAAAACATAACCTCACTTTTCCAATAAATTAACTGGAGTATCTTTTAGTTTACATACTAACCAACGAATTGGTTATTAGATATTGCTAGGAATGCTGAGCTCACACTTTATCTACTTACTGTGGATAGTTTGTGAACTAGCCAAAAATTCTGGTTAATTTATGTAATACTGTTGAAGTTTGTAGTTTGGCGCTAAATCTTGTACAGTCTGTAAACTAACTGGATAGTATACAAGCCAACCAATATTCGTAGCTATTTTAGTGAAAAGTTGAATTTCCATCAAAGTAACCACACATATGGATAGTTTGTATATTATCCAGCTAGTCTATGATCTAGCTATGTAAGCACTTTAACCATAACATATATATATTAATGTATCATCAGCAACTAGTTGAGTTTTGCAGAGTTGTAAAACATCACGCGTCAATTTAGAGTCTAGAAATATTTGGGAAAACCAGAGTGTTGGCTTTTTCCTTTGATATACCACTTTCCTAATTTATGCGTCTCTCATGCAGTTCTCCATACAATCCATAATTTTTTAGGAGTGTCAGCATCATTAAAAATTTCAGTGATATTGGCTTGTAAGAGTGACTCTCGTAATGTTTCAAGTCAATAATTGTGATTTCTCTTGATTCTCTCTCATTAAACATATTTTCCACCTCGAAACATATCCACGAATGGTCGCTTATTTTTGGAGTTTGTAAAACCTTAATACTCAAATTCTGTTCATTGGTTATTATTAAATCGATCTTAGTTCGCGAAAAGTTTGTAATCCTAATGTTTGATTATCAAAACTTATATTGAAGTCTCCCAAGTGCACAGTAGAGCAATTTCGATAATACTGTTTTTCGCACTCTCAAAAAAGTCAAAAAATTGGCCAATATTACAGCTTGGAGACCTGTAGTAAACATGGACATTGTAATTTTGTTACATCTTGATTTCAAAATTAATGTACCACCATTGATAATCAACAACTACAGTATCCTTCACGTTCAACGACACGTTCTCATGCTAAATCATGTTGATGATGATCTGTACTGCATCAAGTTCAAACGAACGCCTTGTTGGCAGAGCTTGAATACAGGCGTCTAATTCTACTAATTGTTATGTCCCCAGACTTTCAGGTTTTTCATCAGAGAAGAAGTTGCACCTCAGTCGCAGAAGTATGTCTAGCACCCTGAATGCCTGCATGTAAAGTGCTGTCGTCTCCAAAGCCGAGCCTCGGAGTTACACTGTGTCTACGACGGGAGAGGAAGCAAGACTCTTTGAGCCCATAAAAAGGCAGTATTTAAAGGAGGGCTAAAGCTTTTTAATATGAATCCTACGCAACCATAATTGAGATATTATACTCGTAGTATAGAAAATAATAACTATTATGTAGAATAATCTTCGTACATTTCTTCTTGTGACTGTTTTGACCCCGCGTTTTGACTTTGTGTTGCGATAACCTCGAATCTGCATGCAAATAGTTTCTTGTTCGTATAGGCATTATATTTTTCCAATGATAAACAGCTATCAAACCATCGTCATGTCTGGTACGCCCGACGCATTGTTATGTACCAAAAAGGACTTGAACTTGCGTATCGCACGACAGGGGCAATAGTCCGGTCAATACGGTATTTTTCTTTCCGTTACGGTAACATAACAGCTGATTATCTAGTAATATTTCGAAATTCCCCATACAGACAAGAGGCACACAGTTGCGTCTAATTTTCGAATTATCATTTTGCATAAAGTGTAGAAATTCACCAAAAAAGCAATTGTCACTCCAAAATAAGTATGTGTATGGAATCGTTTCTCGTCTTTTCGTAATTGTGAGATTAATATGTGCATTTCACAATATCCTCGTCGTTTTTGATTATTTTTGGGGAGTCATTGTCTTTTTTCCTAAGATAAGACAAGTATAATGATAAGCACGCTAATTTTTAGACATTGAAAGCAATTATTTCAACTGAAATTATCTTCTTCCACTGCAAGGAACAAAAGTGCTTCTTCCTCATACGATGATGTATAAGGTTGTTTCAGTAAAGTTGACCCAACGGCCCAAATTTTGATATTTGTGAACTTATTTGAGGGCTAATTAAAATGTTATTTCAAATACAATATTTTTGGATTCTTTAAATGTTTATGGAAAGAAAACCATCGCGGCTATTTTTATAGCGTTTTCATTTCGAAATTGTCTTCTGTGCAAATTGATTTGTGTATAGCAAAATACATGATGATAAAATAAAGGTAGGCTTTGTAAAACATATGATAACATTTTACGTTGCTAAGAAGCTAATTTTTGAGGCTGAAATCAACTTTCAATGCATTGGTGTTGTTAATGATTAAAAATGGCTCGTGGTAGCTTTAAGCAGCTTTGCTTCTGACGAAATAAGAAAAGTGATCATTCTCTTGCTTTTAAAATGCCAAAATGCTTCTCAAATCGCTGACAGTGGTAACAAATCGTGGTACACAATTCGAAATATTATTAAATTGTACAAAACAACTGGATCTGTAGCTCAAAAACCCAGAATTGGAAGTCGCCCACGTTATTCCAATACCAACTCAAGAGCCTTTAAAACGTGTAATCAAGGAAAATCGGTGTGCTAATCATAACGAATTGAAAATATTTGGCAACCACAAAAAAGTTTTCAAGAGAAACTTGTCACAGAGCTGCCCGAAAACTAGGATTTAAAACTCACACTGTAGGCTCAAATTGTTTTTTATTGTTCCTTTTTGAATTCTCGGCAAAAGAGAAGCCTTTACTGACAAAGATTCAGAAGAGAAACAGACTAGCGTGGGCCAAAGAACACAAATTATGGTCTCCGAACCAATAGATCTCCATTATCTGGAGCGAGGAAGCCAGATGTGAAGTATGCGTTGGTGATAGTAGGAGTCGTGTCATAAGAACTAAAGAAGTAGTGTTTCAGAATGACTGTCTAAAAAAAAGTTAAGTTTCCGGCTTCTGATATGATTTGGGAATCAGCAAGTGGAGTGTGAAACCTACACTTTGTGGAAGGTATTATGAATGCTGCATTAATGTGCTTCAAAATAAGTTAATACCACAAACTGAACAAA